GAAACAATTCGTCCCACAAAGCATAGCGGTCCACATAAAAGGGACCACTGGTAAATGGATACTTCTTCATATACAGTACAACGTTATTTTTGGCAGTAAAAGGTGGCCAAGTCATATTATCTATAAGCGGTGGTGAGCTGTGGAACAACAGAGATTTTATTGTAAAATTCTATATGTATTTATTGTTGAGTGAGTTTTATTTACCCGTTTGCGGCGAATGAGGCAAGCAAGTTAGTCATCCGTTCGACCATAAAAATATCTGTCGAGTTATCGTGCACTTCGAAGTTTTTGCGTTTGAAGATATATAAAAGGTCATCCCCATGGTAGGCACCTAAATAGGTTTTTTAAATAGAGCAAAAAACATTTCCGTTCGCTTTCTTCATTTACCTTGCGGGTGTCCAGCGCTATCTGAAAACCCCGACTTTTCACCAACATAGTCGAAACGATAGTAATACACATCAGTGTGATCCTTTGCCAATTGCACCAACCTATGCACGCCATGTCCAATACAAGCATCCGATTCCATTAGGCCAAACCTATCGAGGTTATATTGGCTTATGCTGATGCCATTGTAATAAAACTCACGAATACTCTTCGGCCATTCGTCATCATTTCCAGTGCTCGCGAACTGCAAGAAATCCTTTGCATAAAGCCCAAAGTTCTTATCGATGTCAGCGAGCAGATCGGATTGATTTGCTAATGCTTCAAAATTATATAAATTGATTTAATTTTCATAATCTCGTTTAAATTGAGAAGCGTGCTCACCTTGTGGAATTAAATCGAATTCACCTCGAGTGACGCCAGTTATAATTGGCACACGATTAAACCTGTTATTGCGTATCAATTCGCTCGGGTGCTCTAACAGAAATTTACCATCGATCTCATAGTTCCACTTTAAATTTGGCAATGCATAGTTTTCCCATCTTACAGTCACGTTAACTATCTCTTCCCAACTAACCTGTCTCAAACAATTCAGTAAATATGTGGTCTCGTACTTGGGGCAGCCAAGGTCATTTGCCAACTTTCGGCTCCAATATGCATTGTTCATATCGAAATGATTTGTTGTACTACAACTCTGGACAATGGCACCATGAAAGAGTCCAACTGACAATGGCGATACCAAATGCAACGTGACCGCGAAACCCCCGGTACTATGACCGTGCAGTGTGACCCTATTGGAATCTCCACCAAACTTATGAATATGTTTCTTCACCCACTTGAGTGCCAATAGTTGATCTAAATAACCGTAATTTCCGGGCGCATCTGGGGTGCCTGTACTTAGGAATCCGAAAGGGCCAATACGAAAGAAAACGCTCACTAGCACTACATTCTCATCGAGCAAGTACTGCGGTCCAGCCCTCAATTCACTGTTCGCACTTCCTTCTTTATTTTCACCGCCATGTATGTAAACAATCACTGGATTCGACGCACGCTCATTCGCTGTGAAAACGTTTAGAGACAAACAGTCTTCGTCCATTTGCTCGCCTCTAAACTCTTGTGGGCATGCGGGGCCATCAGTCAAGGCATCTAACGTATCGTTCCATGGTTGTACCGGCTCAGGTGGCGCAAATCTTCTCGATCCGGTCGGCGCTTCGGCATAAT